TTATGGGGCCAAAGAGGAAAGTGATCGATGATGTAGAGTGTGCTTAAGGAGAGTCACATGGAGAGAAAACATTCTCTCAGGCTTTCACAGAGAGCAATTTGGTCAAGCAATGGCCGTGACTTACCCACATGGTTGACACTGACAAAGGATCTACAAACTGTGGTACAGGGTTTCAGGATATATCCCGAGGGGATTTGACTCACTTTATCAGATACATAAGCTACATTTCTTATTATATAAGTCTTGCTTTATCTTAGTCTTAACCATCCAGCAAAAAGTATAAAAACAAAGCGTAAAAAGTAAAACCATACTAATATGCTGAGCTGTAAAAGGCTCAAGTCAACAACTTCTGACATTGCCAGTCTTATGGAAAATCCACTACTATTATGGACTACTGACTATATTGGAATATTTTGCCGAATTCACACACCTATAATATTTAAATGACAATGGAATACCCTTCTCTGACAAAACTAAACAAAAAAAGGGGGATACAAATGAACAACCATTTTGTATCTGTATATTCAAAACAGGATAGTTATACAGCTACATTCTCTTAATTCAACGAACAGAAAGATTTGTTCTAATAGTGTTTGTGGACACGATGTCATGTTTCCATCTTGTACAATGAATAACCACTAAGAGCAATATGAAACTTATTAATTATTGAAACTGTCCTAGTAATCGGTTTTGAAACTGTTTCAATGCTATTTGTTTCTCAATAAAATTATTAAGGAAAAAAAAAGAAATCACCCTAACAAAGAAAGTAAAAGATGAGGGCCAGTGAGATAGCTCAGTGGACTAAGCACTTGCTTAGGCAAGCACAGGGGACCAGGTTTGATCACTGGCACTGTATGCCACACTGGTCCTGCCCCTGGCCATGGTGGCACAAATCTGTAATCCCAGTGCTGGGGAGGATGAAAACAAGAAAATCACTACGAGTTCGAGCTGCATAGTGAGACTCTGCACAAAAAAAAAAAAAAGAAAGAAAATAAAAGATACACACATTAAAAGTTATAGTAATTTGAAAAGAGATTGAAGAAACTATCAAAATATGGAAACATATCCTTGCTCATGGCTAGAAATAACCAACATAGTCAAAATACCATATTCCCAAAACTATTATACAGATTTAATACAATCCCAACCAAAATACCATTATCATACCTCACAGAATTAGAGAAAACATTCTTAAAATTCATTCAGAATCAGGAGAGACCTAGAATAGCAAAAGTAATTCTGGCAAAAAAAAAAAAAAAAAAGTAATTCTGGCTAACAAAAGCAAGTTAGGGGGCATCATAATTTTTGACTTGAAATTATATACAAAGCTACTGTGATAAAATCAACATGGTACAGGCATTAAGAAGAAAGCAAACAAACAAACAAACAGACCCAAGGATTAGTGGAACAGAATAAAAAATGCAGATGCAACCCCAAACATACTCAGCCATTTTATCTTTTTTAAAATAATTTTATTAAGAAACAAATATCAATGAGACAGTTTCACAACTGATTACTGGCACATTTTCAATAATTAACACATTGCATATTGTTGTCTCAGTGGTTATTCATTGTACAAGATGCAGACATGATATCCTGTCTCAAACACTATTATAACAAACCTCTCTATTCATTGAACTAAGAGAATCTGCATATTTTGAGTATGCAGATACAAAAGGATCATTCATTTCTATGCCACTTTTTTGGTTAGTTTTGTCAGAGAAGGGCACTCCATTGTCATTTAAATATTGTAGATGCTTGAATTTAGCAGAATCTCCCAATATAGTCCAGTACTCCATAATAGTAGTGAGTTTTCTGTAAGACTGGCAATGTCCAAAGTTGTTGACTTGAGCTTTTTACAGCTCAGCATATTAATGTGGCTTTACTTTTTATATTTTGTTTTCATACTTTTCTGCTGGATAGTTAAGACCAAGATAAAGCAAGTTACAAGAAATGTAACTTTTGTATCTGATAAGGTCAGTCAAATCCCCTTAGGATTTAATCTGAAACGCTATACTACAGTTTGTAGATCCTTTGTGAGTGTCAGCTATGTGGATAAGTCACGGCCATTGCTTGACCAATTTGCTCTCTGTGAAAGCCTGAGAGAATATTTTCTCTCCATGCGACTCTCCTTAGGCACACTCTACATCATCAATCACATTGCTCTGTGGCCCTATAATCTCCTTGATCAGAAAATTTGGACACAACTGAGGTACATAACATTACAGTATAGGTTCTCCTATGTCCTGAGTCCTCACTGACCTTGAAAGGCTAGGGACAAAATGTTAGCTGTCCTTGCAGTCCTTCTTTTCCTCTAATTTTTGGTCTGCAAACTTAGGTTGTTAACCCTCCCGAGGAGAAGCTTATTTTTACCCTACAACATATGCAGTTGGGTTTAACCTAACTACCTGTCTGAATATCAAACATCTTAGCCATCTTATCTTTGACAAAGGAGCAAAACATGTACACTGAAAGAACAATAGCCTCTTTAATAAATGGTGCTAGAAAAACTGGCTTTCCACATGCTAAAGACTAATACTAGACCTACATTTATCACAATGCACTAAACTGAAGTCAAATGGATCAAGGATCTAAATATTAAAACAGAAACACTAAATATTCTAGCAATTAGAAATCTTGAAGACATAGGTGTAGGCAGGCACTTCATGAACAAAACTCAGAACACATGAGAAACACTATAAACAATAAACAAATGGGATCTAACCTCATTAAAAAGCTTTTGTATGGCAAAAGTAACCACCAAACTAGACTGAAAAGACAACCCAGAGTGGAAAAAATTATAGCCAGCTGTTCCTCAAACAACTTATGCTTAAAACATGAAAAGAATTGAAAAAAAATCAGATTCCCCCAGAGTTCCAATCCAAAAATGGGCATCTGAAATGAATATACATTTATCAGATAAAGAAATAAGGTAGCAAAGAAATATATGAAAAAATGTTCAACATCACTGGTCATTTGAGAGATATAAATTAAAAACACACCGAGATTCCATCTTACTTCAGTAAGAATGGCTATCAACCAATAACAAACACTGGTAGGACTACGGGGACAAAGGAACACTTCTCTATTGTTGGTGGGAATATAGACTGGTGCAACCATTGTGGAAATCAGTGTGAAGATTGCTCAAAAAACTGGGATTAGTGGTCTCATTCAACCCAGCTATTCCCCTCCTGGGTACTTTCCAAGAAGAATTAAAAACCTTAGGCCACAGCAATATAGGTGTACCCATGTCACACAAGTTGTAAGAGTTAAATCTTGGAAACAACCCAAATGCTCATCAGCCAAGGAACGGATAAAAAAGATGTACTTTTTATACAATGCAGTACTATTCAGCCATAAGTGAGGATACACTTGAGACTTTTATAGGTAAATGGATATAATCTGAGACCATACTCTTAAGAGTGATATGCCAGACTTGCATGTGCAAACATCATATTGTATGTATCCTTAGTGTGAGAAGCTAAAAAATAAGATCCAAAATGTACAACAGATATTGTGAAATGGGAAGAAACTTCAAAAGGAGAAAAAAAGTAAGATGGGGAAAGAAAAAAAAGAAAAGAAAAGGAAAAATATATATGTAAATATACAAGATAGTTATATTATTAATTTCTTTTAGCTTATTATAAGAAGGTTTATGCTTATTTTGCTTGATCAATTTTTCATGCCTATACCTTATAATCTGAGCAACTGCTTTGAAGATAACAATACACACTATATTAACCATTCTTACTCCCCTATTATCTTGTTTTGAAATTTTGTATCATTGTTTTTACTCTTTAAAAACTATAGTGAGAAAAAAGCAATTAGAAAGTCATCGAAGTACTAGAGGTATAAAGACTTTGATATACTTACTATATAAACAGAAATTGGAATTAATTCTGAACACACAGCAAAAATGACAGGGCAGCATTGAAAGCCTTGGGGTAGTTTGTAGAAGTACAAATGATTAGACTAAGTTTGGTTTAGGATTGTTTAGGTCAAGAATACCAACAGGCCCGAGGGACAAGGAAACTGAAGATGGTATCAAGAATACTGACAAATGGGATCTCTGAAGAGGCAAAAAGCACTTGGGATCATAAAGAGAAACAAAAGGTGAAGTGTGGTGGCATGTACCTGCAATTCTGAGGTTAGATTGGACAAGTGGGACTTTGCATCAAAAAACACATTTTTAATCAATTAAATTTAAAAAGAAAAGAAAAAGGCCAGAAAGATTTGAAGTTGTTACCCAAGAATGGGTAAGAAAGGAACAATGCATCCTCTTTGCCTTTTCAATGCATCGGGAGTCCCCAGAGGATTGTGTTTCTTGGTTGGCAGAAGAGCTAAAGTTGCCAGAGTCTGTTCAAAAGACCCAGAAAAAATGGGGGCACGACTGGGTGTGGAAATGTTTGACAGAGACATGAGTGATTTGACATTGTTCAGACAAACAGCAGGGAATAGAGTCCTATGGTTTCAGAAGTCCCTAGAAGTATTCTTTTTTTTTTTTTTTTTTTTTTCCCTAGAAGTATTCATGATGACGGTCACCTCCACTACAGAGGTAACAAGTAACACATAGCTGAAGCACTGGATAGCTCCCACCTGTAGGAGCTGTTGTCTGATGGGTTCACTGGAAAGGAGAGAGTAAGACTAACAAAAAGCATATGAAGAAAAATGGGGAAATGAGTCAGAAGTTTAATGAAAGACAAATGACTATATTAAGAGCTGACAGCGAGTGTCAGAGAAGATTAGCATGAGCTTCATTCAATTTCTGAACTCTTCTGAGGACCTGGGATGGATATTAGATTGAACGACTGAGTAGAAAGTACTAAAAGTGAGTTCATTAAACACATTTTACAGTCCTGAAATTTAACTTAATTGTCCATTTATTTAGTCTAAATATCAGGTTGTATTGTTATTTAGTTAAAAATACACACAATTCAATCATATCTTAATACTCAAGACTAAAATAGGAAGAGCTATAATTTCATTATTGCCATTTTTACCTTCAGGAGGTGAAGCAGTAAAACCAGACGGGCTTATGAGCATGAAACCAGGGCTAGTGAGGGGTCGTCCTCCACTGCCAGAATGCCGCAGATACATGATTGACTGCACTTTCTCCTGAAAGATCTTGCCATCTAGATGATCAAAAAATTATTGAGACAGCAAAATGTTTTTAAAAGGGTAAAACAAAAATGTAACTAAAAGAAAATCATTAAATACAAAATTTGACAAAAAAGCCACTCAAAGGAAAAGGGTATGGCTTATTTATAGTTACACTTGACATATGCATTCTCACTCTGGTTTCTTACTCCAGATTTCCTTGTTGTTGATTATTACTGGTGACATTAGCTTTATTTTCTTTGAATTCCAATTGTACTTAGAACTGTTTCTATGGTTTAGCATTTAACTGTTTGCTTTTTATGTGTCCTTATGATCTCTCAGAAGAGACTATTCATCTGTTTACTTCTTGAGAAAAGGACCATGTCTTATGCTTTTAAACATTTCTTTCAGTGTCCAACCTGATTCCAAAACTAATACTTTCAGCTTCATCTTCTTTCTGTGGCCTCATGTTTGTAAATACAAGTGTTTAATTTTTTAAATGTTCCACAAATGCAGCAACTGTAAATCTGAATCATCTTCCTGACCTCAATTCACTCCTGTTCGGTTCTCTATTTAGTTCGATAATGTGGATCACTGTTTACAGATATCTAAATGGTAACCTGATGGACAATTTGTCACCCTCAAAGCCTCACAGCCTCCAAAATTCTTTTAAATGTCAATTTCTGCTTTAGTTGGATAAAGTCCAAGTTTCTTGTCTATAAGAATCTTCACAATCTGTCTCCAAGCCTCTATTCAGTCTTATTTCTTGTATTACATTTCAGCAACACTCACTTCTCAGAGCTGGACACTGTCTCCAAGCCTCTATTCAGTCTTATTTCTTGTATTACATTTCAGCAACACCCACTTCTCAGAGCTGCCAGTTCCAGCCATTTCCTTTGCATGGAAGGCCTTTCCCTCTGATTGCTATTCACCCTTAAGACCAGAAACAGGTATGGCCTTCTCCAGGAAACAGGTCCTCAAGCTCTCAGCATGCTCTATGCTTCCAGAAAATAAAATGCTAATGTCTACCATTGTGCTGTCTTGGTGAGGTGGAACCATCTGTTCACATTTCTGTCTTCTTTACTAAGTCATGAACTTCTTAAGGGGGAGAATCACATTTTATTCATTTTTATAACTATCTTGCTCCCCAAATCTTCCATAATATTTCAGTCATTTAATATGCTGAACTCAACATAAATCCAATCTATCTAACTACATTTGAACTTTTAGTGCTGTTAAATCATTTTACTCATTTATGAACTTTTTTAAAAGTGTTGCACAACTGGTTTTTCATTCTAAAATTACCATCTATCTTTCTCATAGATTCACTCTGGCTTTCTTTCTTACATTATTTTTCCCAGTTCATTAAAAATGATAATTATTCCATCCTTCTCATATACTGAATCCTCTATCCTTTCCATACTTGTTCCTCTTTCTTGTTGCATCCTCTGAGCAATAATATTACCAGAAGTTTTATCCTTAGCTCCTTCTTTCCTTCTCTCTCTACACTACTCTCATCTAATTTCAGAGCTTCTACTTACTCCTATGCAGGTAGCTACTTGCAACTGTCCTTGTGTTATTACCCTTTCTAATTGGCTGATAGTTATTACAGGGTACCTCAAATGCCACATGTATTATGATTATCCTCTGTCCTAACATTCCCAGAGTCATCCTATTCCAACCTTGGTTCTTTTTCTTCTCCTTTCCAATTCTACTCCTACTATGCCCAAGTTTTTTTTTTTTCATGTTTCCTATAGACTATTACAATTAGTCTTAATGCCTCTAGTTTCTCTAGTTTCTTATTTCTGAATTCTACTGCAATAATTTACTTACATCATATCCTTTGGTCACAAACAAATAAGCCAACAAATAAAATAAAAATCATTGAAACAAAATCCTTTCAATGATCTCTATATAATTTGACAAAAAATACAGTGAATGTATAAATGTATTTTTTAAAGTTATTACAGGGGGCCTCGATCCACATCGCCCACTGGGAGCCCTCTCTTCCTGGAGGGAGGTGAAGAGAGTGTGAGTCCACACTGGGCTTCTTTTGTCCCTTCTGCTGGGACATAAGCTAAGATTTAAATTAATGTCATGTTTATATGGCTCAAGACATAATGAGAAGCAGCCAGATGTGTGCTAGATGGTAATGTCAAGTCTGTTTTGTATTTTTAATTTTGCTGTAAACAACTCAACATGTACAGAATTTATTTTTGAATGATTTGATTAAACCAAGCTTTATGATTTTCTCCTTAAAAAAAAAAATAAAGTTATTACAGTGAAAGACACATTGCCATTAATCTCCACCAAGTTTTTCCCACTCATTTCAAACATTTATTCCATCATTCTTTCCACTTTCTAAAACATGCCTAGCAGTCTTCTATCATTTCTTTATTATGATGTTGTAGCTGTCTTGATGTCCTTAAAATGTTTACCTTTTGTGGAGGACCACCTGGGTGAAGCTCCTTAAAAGACTAGCAGTTGCCTCCATTTTGGTTGAGTCTGACCCTATTTCCTTGTATTGATGTGTACAGAACTGGCTAGAAGTTTTCCTTATCCCTTCAATTGGCTTTAAGCAATGCATATGGGTCTAGTCCAGGTGCTGGTGGTGGTCTTTGAGGACAGCTAGCTTGTTTCCCTGGAAACCCCTACCTGCTACTCTTTAATGTGAGCTGGGTCCTGTTGGCTGGGATCGAGCCTTGAGATACAAGGTATGACTTTCTGGGGCTTGAAAGATTACACATCAGAGCTGAAGCACTGACCCCCAAACATTAGATACTATCTCAATTGTGTGATGCAGATTACTCTTTCTGCATATCCTCCTCTCTGCACATTGCAGAGGTGATTTCAGGCCTCCTACAGCTCATGTCACTCACCTACTTCCTGCCATTCTCACAGTCACTGATCTTCAAGCCACTCCCTTCTTCATAAATGAATAAAATTTGGCTTCGGTCCTGAGTAAAGGCCTTTGTTACAAAAAGCCATCATAGTGGCCCCAGGACCTCCTTGTCTCCCCATCACTTTGGATATATTATTGTGTTTTTTTTATTTATGCTATGGATTGCACTAGAAGTAGCGTATTGGAATTAACTCTTTACAATTAAAATAACTTTTCCATGGGATTACAAATATAAACTTCCTGGGCTGTGACAAGGACCAGGAAGGGCTTTCTATACCTTTCACGATCATTTTTATTTTGGGGAATAATCAGAAGTTGTATGATGCCAGTCGCAGTGCATAAGGTAGATGAGGACAAACCATAATGTTTTCATTAGCTTTTCTTTCCATTACATGGCACTTGGCAACAGCATTCACTATATTTTTTAATCACACCTCATCAAGCCACTCAGGAAGGAGAAATTCCAGAACTGCTTTAGAAAACAGCAAGAATAATGGGATGATGAGTCTGTTAGAACTGAGGGGAAATTCTGGGGGTGCGGGGGGTAATGTGTCTTTTATTGTAATATTTTTTTTAAATTTAAATGCACTCTACAGTTTAATCAGCCCTTGTAGAATAAGTTCAAATTCTCTGGTGGTACATTCAATGACTCATTTACTTTAAGGTACTATCTTTAGTATTATTTTTCATTTCTCCTTTATAGATTTTATATATTAACTTAGTAAAAATTGCTTACTCTTCATTTTTTCCTTCCATTTTTCCTCTCTTTAAGTCATTCTCTTTGCCTGAAATGCTAATTCTCCAATCCACTTATCAAATTCTATCTAAATTCTTCAATGCCCACTACAGATAGCATGTAATCTATTAAATATTCTCACCCCAAAACAGTGTGAAGAAACTCTTTCTTCTCTAAAATCTCATTTGTTCTTCATCTGTGTCTCTTAAGTATTTACCAAATATTATTTTTTATTAGTTACTTGAATGCATCTCCTCTATCTTCTCGGTATTTAGCTCTCTGGAGGCTGAGACCATGTTCATTCTATAAACCTCTACCTTGTCTCCTCCCCGGTGTTATTAGGGTAGTTTCTAGCACAAAAAGTACATTCAATGAATATCAAACAAATATGAATCAAGTAGAAAGAATAAAAGTGGAGATCGTTAAAATCTAAAAAAAAATAATTATACCTACCTATGTGCAAAGAAAAGTAGAAGTTTGTGGGATTGTGACAAACGTAAGTATTAGTAGGAGGGTGAACTGCTAAAAGGAAATTGAAGATAACTGTCAATAATTCCAAATCTGGAGGAGATCCAAGGACTTCTGCAATAATTTTCACAAATGATCTACAAACCTCTCGGGGCATGGATGTAAGCTGCCCCTCTTTATGTTCCTGAAAAATTAAAAATAAAATTGTCTTTAGACTTAAAAGAGAACTCTCAACTAACATTTTTCACTTAAGCAACACATCTTTTTTTTAAGACAACTTTTTAAACAGAATTCTGTGTAGGTACCTACTCTAGACATCATACTTGCCATCCAATTAAGTTGCTATTTTTCAATTCAAATAATCTTGCTATTAAACAAGATTAGTCTCTTTTAAATAAAAAAATGCATTAAAAAAAGCAAAACAACTTAATTCTAGACCACTTGTCTTATTAAACTGAGGCACACTCATGAGCATGGACTCAGAGACCCAATGAAAAGGTCTGGATTCTAGCTCCTTCACTCATTGGTATAATTTTGGACATGTCACTTAATGCCTTTCTCATTCAGCTTGTCTATAATGCAAAAATAATACTAATGCTATGTCATAAGTTTGCTATAAGGAATAAGTGACACAAACTCTTAGAACGGTGCCTCACTTATGGTAAGCTCCATACAGGTAGAATATCCCTTATCTGAAATGCATGGGATCAGAAATGTTTCACATTTCAGAGGGGTTTTTTTTTTCAGGTTTTGATATAGTTGCATAGATTTTATGGTTAAGCATCTACAACCCAAAAATCCAAAATGCTCTAAAATCTGAAATATTTTGAATGCATGACAACATGTAAATGTTATTATTAGTATTACCATCACTATTACTATGACTATTATTTTGCCTTCTACTACTACAGGACCTAGAGGAATTTCTGATGGACAAACCTACTGATATTAATATAATGTACTCCCTTTACAAATCTCCTTTTCACAATAGATCTATAATGGTAATTATCTCTCATTTTTAGACTATCAGGCTCAAAATAATTACTTAACTAGTTTAAACTATATAGAAAATACTTAAGTTATACTGTAACTATAGCTTAAACTCAGGCCTCTCACATGTTTCTACTGCATCATCTCCTACTTGGAATAATGACTGCTGACAAGTAACTGTTAAAAGTCTGATGTGAATTGCTTATATCCTCCAACTTCACTTCCCCAATGAATGCCAGCTGGCTCCCAAATTAAAGGAATCAGAAGTAAACTTCCTCATCTTTCCTCTCCCTATGCCCAAATATATAGCTCTCTACCCAGTCCTCTTCATTCTTATGCACTAACCTATTTCAGATTTAAGAGAATACTAAGATTAAAAAGGAACCCAAAATCCCTTTGCCAACTGTTGAGGCCAGGCCAAGACAAGAAACATATGTTTCTTAACTTCTAATTTGGAGCAGCTTCTGCTATACCAGCTGCCTTTCCTCTGAATAATCTCTTATATCTTCCCAAATGTCCACGTTGCATCATCAATTATTCATTCCTAGACCCATCAAAGCCCAACTTTCTCCAATCTTGTCCTCTCTACTGACTCCTTGGAAATAAACTCTGGTCTCCAAGGATGAACAGCTTGGATAAAATATAAGGAACAGAAAGAGGGTTATTGCTTGTCACTTGCTGCCTGTTGCTTTCTGCCTGCTTGTTTTGCGATGACCCTCTGCCATGCCACCCTGCCTTGGAGTCAGCCAATAATGAACTGAAAGCTCTATAAACTGTGAGCTAGGGCTGGACCGCGGCTCAATCCCCCAGCACCACATGCCAGCCAGCCCCTCCCCCTGGTGGGATGAGCTGGCCACACACACACAAAATAAATAAATAAATAAATGTGAGCTAAATAAACCTTTCCTTTTTTAGGAGATGGCTATTGTGTCTCAACAACCAGAAAGGTAACTAAGACAAGATCATATAAACTGTCTCAAGGATGTTGTTACGGAGTTTGGATTTTTAGCTCATCTATAGTTAGAAGTGCTTAGTGCCATTAAAAGAAAAAAACAAAAACATAATATGCTACTTAGCTCATGAACATCTTGCATTTATCTAACCTGAAAAAATTCTAACAGATGCTTCCCAAAATTTAAATATTGGGAAAAGGTCCATCATATCAGACAACCAGACAAAATGAAATCTAAACAAAATTAACTAAAGCCCCAAAGCATGAAAATTTTTATAAAACTGTGAAGTCAGTGCCATCTTTTAACATAACATTTTGGATATATTACCTAGATGATATTTCTAGTATATAAAGTGGATCTTCAGCCAGTTATATGTATTGAAACAATATATAGTTGTAAATTATTATTTAAGGAAAATGGAAAAAGTTAAGATTCACCAACTATTATAGTTCAAGAGACTACAAATTAATATATCCCAGCACATAAAAAATGCTGGATTTGCTATATAAAAATCCCTTAAAAAGACAGGTTTCCAAAAAGCTACAACTCTTGTTGCATAGGTTCTGCTTTACCTTGGTCTTAACCATCCAGTAGAAAAGTATGAAGA